CTGCGGTCCCTGAGAGATGCTATCGACGTTTACAATAAAGGATTGCCAAAACCCGGCTGTGGCCGTCGCTAAGAGTCGCTGGGAAGCACCGGGGTGGGTTTGCCTCGAGCGTCTCCAGCAAGGTTTCCGCTCTGCTTGAGCGTCTGTGCTGTCGGGGTTGCCTGCAGAGAGTCGCGGGCTGTCAGAAGCACCCCATGACTCTTGCAATCCTAGACATCCGCACAGACAGTTCAATGAAAGCTGATGTCTTGTCGCCTGTGCGGACAATTTCTCGAGGGCAGCTCTTATGACAAACTGTGGGTTTTCTTGCAGCTACCACTCGTTTCGATGGCAGAGCCTTCCCCAGAACCGTTGCCACCTCAGTGGTAGAAGCGCCAGAGTTTGCGAGGGGCGACCAGTTGATAAACATACTACCGTGTTGCTTCCCGGCAGTCCCGGCAACACTTACCTTGTGTCCGCAGGTGTCTGGCACTGAAAACCGGACATTCCTGCTGACATGCATACTCCTTCGTGCCCGCAGCTCGCTTCGAAATTGGCTTGCGAACCCATAGCAGGACCGAAAGGCTAACACTGTCATCATAAACCTTTGGTCTCTGAGTTTAGGTCAACGCAAGGTGGTACGAGCATTGCTTGAAGTCAACTCAGGGAGGTCCAAGGATAGCTCGACAGCTTGCAATAGGACTCGACAAGTAGGCTGAGGGGGGTAGTAAGACGACACACGTGGCAATGGCTTGGGGACGCAGGAGGTGCCAGACGCATGGGGTTCAATAGGCTACAAGAAGGTTGCAAAGCAGCCCGATGCTGTCGAGTCTAATGCACCGAGAGATCGTGACGGCCCGCAAACTGAAAGCTGCGAGCAAGTATGGTCATGGGACCCACAGCTCATACCTTGAGCATAAAGGGCAGACAAAGAAAAGCACGATGGCCCCCCGTCTGCAACCACGCCGCGAGGAGTATGATCCGGCTTTTTGGCATACTTTTCGGCGCAGTCTTCCTCGGTTGTAGTCGATGCTGCTGAAACCATGTGCTTGTCCATGTTGTCCAAGGTTCTAAAGTCTTCGAACAACTTTGGAAGATGACCCAAAACCCTAAGAGCTTGAAGTCAAGCCTTTCCACTGTAGGAACACATGAAACTCATCAGAGCAGCTAGGAAGTTCTGGAACTCATCCTCTTCATCGCCTGTCGGGCGGGCAAACCGGGGCCATAGTTTACTGGCTCCTCAACCGGTTTAGGGTTTAGGAAGTTTAGGGTTTAGGGTTTAGGGTAACCAGAAACCCTGAAATAGACCTAATACCCCGCACCCTTAGACCTGAAGCCTACACGCCAAACCCCACCCAAAATCCGAAAGCTCAAACCGTCTATCAGGTTCAGTAGAATGACGCAGACATGCTGCACAACTCATCGGAATTGCGCAATCTGTCTGTGTGCATTCATACCTGCTTGCATGTGTTCAACATTCTATACACGCAAGAGTAGTATGTAAACAAAGAGCAGCTGTACATAGATATCATATACCGTTCCATAACCATAGACAGATCAGGTACCAAACAAATAAATCTATGTACGAACGAAGAGAGATATATAGATATATGCATATGTATGTGTGCAAACGATGACTATTACAGGCCCCTTGAACCCATAACTGAATCTTAAACAATCTGTTCAAGAATCCGTTGGGTTTATACTTATTGTGATGATATACAAAAAAGTTCTCAAAAAAGACATAGGTTCCTAAAGAAGACCTGGATGCTCCTCACCTTTAGTTCCTGGAATATCGCAGCAAAACTGAGACTTAGGCAGCCCCCACAGAGCTCCGCACCATGGCCTGAATCGTCCTCGGTGGCCCAGGCGTCCTTGGGAGTGAAACTCCAGGTCTTGGACCTTACAGTCTTCGCCAGGCTAGGTTCGAAGAGAGAGGTGGGCATGTCGCCTCTAAACCTCCGGTAAACGCCAGAAAGCCCAAAAAGTCCTTGTCGGAGGTAGTCGAAGACAAGAACGCATCTCTGACACAAAGCTGGGTGACCTGTTGGCTTACAGGGCTTGGCGCTTAACCTTGCCACTGCAGCTGATCATTGCGCCAAGAGGCGCTGTCCCTGCTGCCACCGACTTGCTGATCGCCAGAGAGTCCTGCTTCCGTGGACATGCAGATGTAGACTTCAGATCTTGACCACCACAGCGAGACAGGCTATGGAAAAACAGTGTGGCGTGTACTCCGCGCATGGACAACATGCCCTGTTGCGACAAACGTTCCAGCTACCAACACGGGTCCGAGAACACAGAGGACCGGCGACTCCTGCAGCTCCCGCGCACTTCGGGGAATTCCGGCTGGGAAGAGCTGACGGGTTGGACAAGGATTCCAGGTTTGGTCTCAGAGAAGCTGCAAGCGGTGCTCTCCGCTGGACTATCAGCACAGGAAAACAATAGATCTGAAGCGCGGCAGCACGCCTGCTCTTTCAAACTCTGGCCATGAATTGTCAACCGAAGGCAATAACCTATCTTGCAAAGTGTTGAGTGTCCGAAAGGGCGTGCCAGTCACGTGACCGCAACTTCTGACGGTTCTAGACTACAGACATCCCATCTAGATCCGGGGTCGGGTCCTGCACTGTTAGTTACAATGAGGATCCTTTAAACGGCGTGCTTTGTCCTGTCGCCTGCAAGGCCTTTAAAGCTTTGATCATAATACAGTCGTCTCCTCCCCCTCCTTAAAAACCAGAGACCGGGCAGCAACATCTCAGCGCCGTGCGGACTTCGCGCATCGATGGGAAGCCGAGTAGGTAAGTGTGTGCTGCCAGGTGTTCCAGGTACTGACCCACCTGGTAATCGAAGCAGTGGCTCCAGCCAGCAGCACCGGCGAAGGCAGCAATGCGAAGTGAAAGTGTTAGCAGTAGGATGCTACATGGATAGCTGTAGAGCACAGTCGCGGCAGTCGTCCTCGGCGATGCGGACAGCATCGGCATTATCATCCACAGTACTAGTGGTGGCAGTAGTAAGTAGTATGTAGGAAGTAGTAAGTAGTAAGTAGTATAAGTAGCAGGGGTGGCAGCAGTAGCAGTAGTGGTGGTGGCGGTGGTGGTGGTGGTGGTCGTGGAGGTCGTGGTGGTGGTGGTGGTGGTCGTGGTGCTGGTGCTGGTGCTGGTGCTGGTGCTGGTGCTGGTGCTGGTGCTGGTGGTGGTGGTGGTGGTGGTGGTGGTCTTTTGCTGTTGTTGGTGCTGTTGCTGCTGTTGTGGTGGTGATGGTGGTGCTGGTGGTGCTGGTGGTGCTGGTGGTGCTGGTGGTGGTGCTGGCGGCGGTGGCGATGTTGGTGATTGTGGCTGTGGTTGTTGCGGCTGTGCAATCCTACATGGTATATCCAGCGCATAAGCCTTCAATAAGCTGAAACGATTCCGGAATCACATGAGCGGGCCTCTGCTTCCCTCGAAGATCAAGTGGACGTCTGGCAGTTGGAGCACAGAGTTCTGATGCTTTTCGCTCTGCTGCACACCTATGCAAACTTAACCATGAGTGGCGTTGGGTCAGTTCTTGCACTCGTACTACTCCTAGCTGGTTCTGACACCAGGGATAGTAGCAGTTTTAGAAATCGGGAAAACAGTCATCAACGCTATTGGCGGAGCTAAATATCAGTGCCTGCAGCTAGCAGCAATAGGAATATCGAAACGGTAGCGACTGTCGTTCGTCATCGTTACATCCCACACCAACTGCCCGGACCATTCAGAATTCAGTACCACCGCCAGTAGCACTGCCAAAACTGCTACAGCAAAACCGGACTGCGATGACGAATGACGACTAGAAGTACGACGGAGATTACTCTGACTGCTACTACTCCTACTGCTACGAACTAATGCTACGATCACGACAACGAAAACTACCAATACTACGACAAAGAAGACCACGACGACGACGACGACCACTACTGAACAACGACGACGACGACTACTACTACTACTACTACTAGTGCGACTACGACGACAACGACAACGACAACGACAACGACGACGAAGACGAGGCCGACGACGACTACGACTACGACTACTACTACTACTACTACTACTACTACTGCTAGCACCACTACTACTGCCATCTACTACTTGCTGCCTGCTCCCTACTTGCTAGACCTAGTGACTGCTACCTGTTACTATCTGCTGCTACAAGCCACCTACTACCCACAGCAGTGAGTGCTGCTGCTACTACTACTACTAATAATAATAATAATTACTATTGTTATGATTATGCCAAAAACAATAACACTATACGGACTGTACATAATGATAGTCAGAATTATAATCACAATTAATTACAGTACCACTAGGACGACTGCTGCATACAGACTGTGGAAGACGATTCAGGGACGATGGCTGTCCTGCTAAAACATAGAATTTCCAAGTCCACATCCGCATCTCAAAAACAACAGCATGAACAGGATGGACAACCACTCCAATGCCCCCTGACTCCCTCTCCTTGTGCAGACCCCGCCTGAGTCAACCTCGACGTCGGGCTGTTTTTCCTTGCTTGCTCTATCTGCTTTAGGACAGCGAAGGGGGATTCGTTCACAAGATGCACAACATAAGTTGGCTTCTGCGACAATTGAGCCTAGGGTTTCTGCCTCATGACCAGGCTGATTCCATTTACCAGCGTCGCCGCATGGCTTGATGAGGTGTCCAGATTGGAGGCCCAAAGCCTGACAACATCTGAGGGTCTTTATGGGCACGCCAGGTCTGAGAGCACAAGAGCACGGAGTGCTAATTCAAGCAGATCAATCACAGCTTGATAACGGCAACGAGTTCAAGTTAACCTGGTGTGTTACAGTACTTTCCCCTTCTGACTTTCTTTATCTTTCGGCCTTCTTCTGCAACGGACCAAGGGCAAGCAAAGCTGCACTGGCCCCAGTCTCTTTCTTGTTCACCACAGACACCATCACCCACATGGTCAGCACCAGCATCTTCGTTTTTGTCACCGGATACCCTTCCCCGCATCCCTCGCCGGTTACTCTCCAAGGCAGCCACTGTGTGGGGATCTGCCTTGGAGAAGCTCACCTGCTTTCGGATGCTCGCCTGAGTGCAAACGCTGGAGACAGCAGCCGAACACTCAGGCTTCAGGCTGAAGTCTTGATTTTCGACACGAAAGGAATTCTGACACGTTTGCAAATGCTTCTTGCCTCTATTGGTGGACGTGCATGAGGGCTCGCTTCTTAGGAATAGCAGCAATTTGGGAGTTTTGGTGTGCGACCACAGGCTCCTTTTGCTTGGTCCCGGTGATTTCCCTTTGAAGACCCTGGTAGTCTCAGTAGGTTCAGGAAGGGAGGGATTATGCTGGGAGGGCAGGTGCTGATCGGGACACTGCTTTCAGGTGTCATAACGTCAAAAGTACGCATATACAAGGACGCCATGTACCCACACTCCGAAGCGTTAAACCTCGAAGCCTCGCCCTGATGCTTCTGGCACACGCATACCGGACCGTAAGTAGCGGATTAAGCTGCCGAGGTGCTGTTCGCCCTCCTGCCGGTCATGCAGGTCACGAGCGGAGATCATCATCATAATCATCAAGATCATCTTGCTCATGATCATGATGATGATTTTGATGATGATCATCATCATCTACATTGTCGCACTCGGAACGAGATCATGAGCACCATCACGATCGTGATCATGTAAATCGTCATGATCGCCAGGTTTCGAGCATGTTTCGATGCAAAGCCGGTGCTTCTTGCAACGATTTCGCGTTTGCAGACGTCCGAAGTCCGGTCTGGGATTATGTTGTTACTTCGGCAGAGCTCAAGACAGTACGGTTTGTCCCTCAAAAAACCGCAGCGAAGCTTGAAGTTAAAACAGCCTGCAAAGCAAAGATACTGCAGGCCTGCGAATCTGAACGTCGCAAAACATGCCGAACGTGAAACAACCCCGGGCAACAAACAGTGAGAGCAAAAACTGAAACTTTAACAATCCTTGACAAGAAACACACACTGAAGTTGAAGTTGGGGGAAATTGCGAGACAACCGTGAATACTGGTACGAAATGCAACACAAAAAAGGGCGGCCAAAAGTACACCGTGTTCCTCCCCCTCGTCATCCTCCTAGTACTAGTGCACGAGTACTGCGGCTTGCTATGTTCCTGCTGCCTGCTACTACTGTTGAAGCCACTGCTAGTGCGACTGCTTCGAAATAACTCGAACAGCCAAACAACTACCCCGGCCTTTCTTAGCATCAATTTAGTTCGATTTTGTTGGCTTCACAGAGTGGAAGGGCAAGGCCCGGGAGCTCTGCGGGAGCATCATCACACTATCACTTATTATTGCTGCTGTGCTCCCTGACGTCGCTGTTTCCTAGTGCTGGCGCTTCTTTGGCACGAAAACCCTAAACCCTAATGCCCTAATACCCTAAACCCCTAAACCCCTAATACCCTAATACACTAAACCCTAAACCCCGAAACCCTAATACCCTAAACCCTAATACCCTAAACCCCTAAACCCTAATACCCTAAACCCTACACCCTTAAGCCTGAGCATCACTGCAATATATGGGCCCCCATGCCTGTCGACTCGTTGGAACCCTGGCAAGGCACAGGGGCTGCAAGCAATTGTCTACAATGGTATGCCCATCGTATTATACAGGAATATAGCATACTATAGTACATGTAAGTATGATATTATACTATAGTATGTGTGTATATATATGTATATATATATAATTGTATACTGTAACTGACTATAATCATTTCCCCGTAATATTAAAAAGAAGGCCCAATACAAACTCAGAAAGTGTTTTTGTTATAAGGGTGTATTTTTGTCTCTACCGCCACTATTGAGGGGTCGTTCTCTTGCTCCTGCTTCTGCTGCATCTTGTGAGCCTGCTCCTGTTCTTGCTGTACTCGAGTGGTATTTGGAGCCTCGAAACCCTCGCCCTAATTCATTATAGGTTTTGAAGGACAGGGATGATTTCGGGAGGATTCGCCAAACATGTGGTTTTATTCTTACGGGGTTTTTAATAAAAGGGGGATGTGAGTGGTATATCGTGGATCATAGCTATGTTATATTATGCTGTCTTATCTCAGCTTCGATGCTTAGGCTGTATAAACGAACCGGAGGGGCCGGTGATGGCAGGCTGGGGCCAGCTCAGGCCACCAGAGTTGTGGCTCTGCTTGATGTGCGTTTGCATCACCCATTGACATGGCTCATGTAGGGGCCTGAATAACTAGAAGAGGGTTTTGGAGCCCTTTATACTATATCTATAATAAGGAACCCCCAAAATAGTATAGGCAATTATTTAGGCTTCTATACTACTGGCAAACCTCTCAGCTTGAAGCGATCCACTCCTGGCCTTCCGACGTACCGGTAAGAGCGGCAGTGACACTCTCAAAGGAGAGAGTGGCGAGTCGGCCTGACCGTCTCAAGCTCTCGGATGAGCTCATGCCACAACCAGAGAAACGCTCGAAAATCCTGTCGCACAAGAGTTCTTCAACCTGATGTGCGGACAAGCCCAAGCACGCCTCATGGGGCAGCAGCTCTTGTAGCTTCTGCGCACACTCCGCCGCCTGTGGCCAGACCGGGTGTGGGGTAATGGATTTGCTCTAACCCACTGGCTTGGGTGGCGCATGGCAAGTCTTATTCCCTGCCCGGCACTAAACCACCCCCAGCCGAGAAACCCTGAAATCCTTAAGCTCCTAAGCTCTGAACCCTCTAGGCCCGCACCCTCCCAAGCTCCCACTTCTTCATCCCAGAGGTCCCCCAAGTGCCTGTCGGACGCCCTGGTAGATGCCCTCGAAAAGAGATGCGAAGCTGGGCCTGCCGTCGGTCGCACAAAACAGCAGTAAGCACGGCAGTCAGAGCGGATATAGTAACTGTGGCAAGCACAAATGGAAGGACCAATAAAACTCCTCCTCGTGGTACGATGACGGAGACAATGGCAATAATGACCGTGACGCAGTTTATGGTGGCGACGGGCAGGATGATGACAACAGCAGCAGCAGCTATGATATGCGTACATAGACGTACAAGTAACTCTGACAAAACACCACCGACTCTAATGCCACATTGCGCAAGTCCTCGAAGCTTGCCTTTGACGGCGCTGCTGGCAGGACACCGAACACGACACTCATATGAGGTGAGCGAGACGATACATGAATCAACGAAGCCTTTACCGGCGAAGATCAGACAAGAGGGGCCACTCAAATGGCAAACAACAGTAAACTCTGAGTTTTCAGACATTTTCACGCAGGAGCCTGGTGACAGATGGGAGTTTCAAAAGCGGGAGAAAGGATCCTCGAGATCGCAAGAAGATAGGACCCTGATGTGGAGGACGGAGGGGATGTCGGAAGTGTCCCCTAAGGGATCATCGCCCTGCTGCGCTGCCTACGGGAAGTTATCCAAGATCATGGAGAGAAGAGCTTCCTGATTTAATCCTGGTTCTAGGCTCCTGCTTACAGTCTGACCCGTTACAGCAGTCCGGAACGGAGTCGTCGCAGTGCACCCCGAGGTTCGGCTTGACTGCTCTTAGGCTGTTTCAAACGAGCTGTTGGCAGCTCTGACTTGCGGCCAAGTTGCTCCTGGCGGCTCAAAGTGACGTCTGAGGACATGGCAAGCTACGGTTGTGGGAACAACATGAAAGCAGCCGGAAGAGCTTGGCAACAACAGTCTCCAAGCTCGCGTCTCTTCTGTGCTCTTCTGTGATGCCGCTTATGGGGAATTCCCACGCTCTGGGGCGCTGCATGTCCTTGTTTGCACGGCGGGGAATAAAATGCACTGCGCCCTGCGAATGTTCCTGCATCCGGTACGGTGTGCAGCTGCAGCTTTATGATTCGAGCCGTAACGCTCCGAAAACCGGTCGAACATGCGACAATGAACAAGAATGCAATTGCAGCCTGTAGCCACATAGAGATACGGATGCAGGATGCTTACCATGTTTCCAACACATAGAGGCCGATGGACGTGATACAAGCACCCATTCCAGAAGCCCGGGTCGGTTCTGAAATGTCGAGCAATGTGCCGGGCAATGTGCACGGCCGAGGGTGGGTTCGTGCATCGTGGAGGTGCGAAGAGGCGTGTGCCAAGTGCCGCAGCCCTGCGCTGCTGTGGATCTCCACCTTCCGCGCACGGTTCTTGGGGAGTGAAACAAAATGCAGAGCCGCCATAGGGTAGACATAGGTAAGAGTTCCAAGTGTTAAGTAGCACACCCGCACCTCGTCCAGGAGCTCGCGCTCTTGCCGGCTGAGGCAGAGGGTAGTTGCGGGACTCGGCATCTCCTGATACTGCACAGCAAGTCCGTGTGCGTCCGTGTGATGAAGTTTTCTATGTAAAAAAATATATATGTATATATATATATATATTTATTTATTTATTTTATGATGGTTCCAGCTATTTCCAGTGGCATTCATGGCACGGGTTTGCGATGGGGTCTCGTGATTCTTGGGGCACTGTCGTTCGTGGCTCCGAGAGCCCCGAGGTTCTTCAGATTCAATTCATCCCATCAGCAATGTCACGGAAGAAGAGACAAAGCCTGCTACGAGGCCTATTATTAGATGCGGCTTTTCCACGAGCATGATGTTAAAAGCACACAAGCCGATGGATGGCCCACCAAGCACTCCTGTCACTTCACGTTGCGAGAAACTGCCAGTGCATGCCACACAACAACGAGAACCTGACTCCCAAAGCTCCTAAAGCCTGAAACCCCAGCTCCAACCAAAAACACCGCCACGAGCCATGGAGCCTTGAACCGTATGCGCCACCGCTAAGCCCACTAAACCCTAAACACCCCCAAAAAAAATCTGAAAGCCCTCTGAAGCTTATAAACCCTAAAGCCCTAAGATGAAAAACCCTAAAGCCCCAGAACCCTAAAACCTAAAAAGCCTAAAACCCTCAACAGAAGTCTAAACCCTAAAACCCTTTCCCCGCCTTAAAAGGTCCAAACCCTAACCCACACTTTTTGCCCTAAACCCTAAACCGGCACCTCCGACTCCCCGGCTTCACGCGCCAGGGCCGCCGTCCAGAGACGAGACCTGAACCCGACAGCCACGGTGATTGAGAATCAATTTTTGATCTACGGCGAGGGTAAGGTTAGGGCTTCTAGGGCTTTTAGGGCTTCAGGGTTTTTGGGGCTTTAGGGTTTTAGGGTTTCGGGCTTTGGGTGCAGGGGATGGGGTTTAGGGTGACGATGGCGATGGTTTTGACTCTGCATGGCATTCATATAAACACGCCCTGTATCATAAGTGTTGCGTGCTTTCGGTGCCATGCGTTGGTGGAGCTTATCCTTCCACTCATTGCTTTGGGAAAGATAAGTGCTACTGCCATTGATGTTGAAAATTGGAGGCTTACAGTGATCACACAATCAACACCAGTTTTAGAATGTATGTACTTTGTATTTATGTATCTCTGGCTGCACTGGCTCTCCGGTTGAACTTCGTGCTACCGGTTTCTGCTAAGCAGCTGCCTTGAGGCAGGCTGGCTTGTTTGGACTGTGAGTGCTCCTGGGAATTCATTAGAATCACCAGTGGCACCACCAGTTGAAGTGTGATGATGCTATCGCGCTTCATTGAACGAACAAGGCAACCTCGTGCTTCAAGTCTGCATGGGTGTTCATGTCACATACGGCTTCGCTGTGCCTTTAGGAAGTTTGATACTCGCCCTACGGACGAACAAAACATGTCAGCCACACCAGTGTTATCTCACTATCACGTGCCAGACCCATGGGCAACTGACTCCCGCTTTGCTCCTCCGTTTTGGTTGGCTGTTTCGTCATGCTTGTTTTTTCTTCCCAATGTGGGCAAGCTAAGACATCCTGACCACGGCTGGGAGCTTTGGGGAGCGGATAGCCGCAGGTTGCACCGTGTCACGCCTCTGGGGGATCAGCATCGGATATTTGCAGGGAGGAACACTTTTCTCAAACAAATTTCGTCGTTCATCCCTGACAACCTGTAGAGTGCAGCATCTTGCCGACGTTGGCTGCAGCCGAAGTGCCACAAAGGGCAGTGCAGCTCCACGGAGCGGTAGAGCCCGACTGAGGCAGCGAGAGAAGCAGAGAGCATTCTGCTGATGTCATGGAGCCATCGCTCCCCAACTTTCAACAACTTGTGGAGCGATATCTCAGTCGGAAAGATGCGGTTTTACGCAGAATCAAGCAAAGAAGCGGAATCTCTGACGGATTCTGTGTCAAGCCTGGAAGATGCTGACTCGAGTCCCCGCAAACCCTCGCAAGCAAAAAAAGAGCAGAGCTTGCTGGCCTGGGGACGTCTGCCAAACCTGCATGTCGTGCAGGCATGCGATGGCATCCGACTACTCGTCTTATCATCGAGCTTCGGAAAGTCCGATGTCTCACCTGGAACAGCCGGAAGTCACTGCTGAAGCATTAATTCCAGCAAACTTATCCCCTCGCCTTTTCCCCGATAGGAAAAAACGGTCTTCTCATTAATGACTTCCGCCAAACCCCGAAGCCTCCTGTCCCCGACTAGATCGTTCTTGCGTCAGACATTTAGACCTGGGGGAGAGCTGCAGCACGACTGGAACTAGGGCGCACCAGAGTTACAAGCCACCTGCCACAGTCAAACATCAAAAATCCTCAAGGTGAGGCCGAAGTTCAAGCATGCTCATACAGGGGAGGGATCATGCTGAGGCATCTGTTGGATGTAAGCTACAGGGCGTCGGCCCCTAGGTCATACACAGCTTCGTTACCGTAGTTTCAAGACCTCTGAACCCGGAACACCGGTACTGGCCTCACCCTCATTGATGGATGCGTGGACCTTGCATCCCCTTCGGCAGCTCACACGCAGTTCCTCACGCGCAGTCCACTGCAGAGACCCGCGGGATCAAGAGTAAAGAAGAGATCCGCTAAGCCGCTAATCATGACTCCGACGGTTTCGGTTCAGGGCGAGGAGGAAGGAGAAGTTATGATTAGAATAAACTTTGTTGTACATAGCTCTTGAAGCTTCCTTGCAACACATGGCTGAGAGGCCATAAGTACACCGGATTGCGCTGGAGATCCTAATCTGCACCGTGATGATCTAAGCGGGAAATTTGCTGATTGACCCTTGTTGTTGGTGCACGAGCAACTAATTACATCAAAGCCCGCGTAGCACCTGGAGCTGCGCAAAGGGCAGGTCTAACTTCTCCAACAACAGGCTGACCTGTGGGATGCCCCGAACACTTAGGCAAAAGGCTGACTGGAAAGATTGCAGTATAGTGCTACATGCTGTAAGACACTGTAAGAGGGTCATGGGATCAGGTGATACAAAAAAGGCATGTAGCAGTGTCACACTTCCGGGCGGGCGAAAACTTGGGGAATTCGGAAGGGTTTGCGGATGGGCGGCCCCCGCCACTGGGCCTGGAATCATTCAAGGAATCATGGAAGGAAACTAGCGCAACTTGTAAAGTCGGAGTGAAGTGTCACCAAGCCTGTTGCTGTAAGTGCAGACACACACAATCACGCTTTCAATGAAGATGTGGGCCCCTTCCCGTGGGTCTGAACATTGCTTGCCGAATTGGAACCTCTCAGGCGGAAAACTGCAACCCAGAATCCTCCTCAAGCCCAGCAAGTTCAACTAATCGCGTGCCCTCAACAAAACTGAAACACTGCCCAGGAAATGCACTTCGGGAGCCTCCAAGATCAACGAGACTGACAACGTCGAAATTGTGCGCCGATTAGAAGACTGATATTCAGTTGCATGTCTACACAGCTGTAGAAACTAAGTTGTAAATGCACAGATGACAAGAATTATAATCCTCCCAAGCCCCATATCCCCACCAGCCGCACGTGGAAGTGAACGGCGCAAACAGCCTTCTCCGGCACCTGCATGAACGAAGTTGGCTCTTGAAGATTTTCGGTTTTAGTATTGGTCTCGGGTTTTGAAGTCATCTAGGTGTTTGGGGTGCCCCACTAGAGTATGGGGGGAAGGATGAGTCCCAAGCCTCGAGAATGCGCCCAGCGGCTCGAGTTTGGGTTCAGGGTTTGCAAGGGGTTTAGGGTTGCCTTCACGGCGCAGGGGGAAGGGCTTTTTGATGCTTCGGAGGTTTAGGCTTTACGGTTTAGGTGTCTGAAAAACACGATATCGCCAGCCCCCAGTTCAGCTGAGAGCTCGGCCCACTCCGCTTGGGTACTCGCCTGCACCCATGGCACGGTCCCCGTAGATTTGATTCCAAGCATCTCGAACCGAACGACAACAATATCCTTATAGAGTATCTTAGAGTTGAGCCTATAGCAGTAATGATATGGGTGATGAGGATGATGATGATGAGGATGATGATGACGACGATAATGATGGTGATGGAGATGCTGGTGATGATGATGATGATGATGGTGATGATGATGATGATGACGATGATGATGAATATGAAAAAGATGATGATGATTGCGATGACGATGATGGTGATGCTGATGGTGAGGGTGACGATGGCGATGACGATGACGATGGTGCGCTACATATTTGGCTTTTCATGGCACCGCTCCAGAAACCGAGCCTGACACCTGCGGAGCCAAGCTCCCGCAACAAATCCGACGACCCAATTTGCTAGCTTTCCCGGTTGCTAGCAGCCTGAAGCCTCAGAAAGACCAGCCTCGATGCCCCAAAGTCTAATCATAAACCCTACG